TACTAATATTCGAATAAAGAGCAGTGTAGCAAAGAGGTCACCTTAAAATTAAAAAAAAAAAAACAGAATTTATCATAACAATTTAAAAAATTCAACAATAATTTAACAATCAATAGACATAGATAAGGCAAGTTTGTCTACTTTAGATAAATAATTAATGCAATGATCTTATGTTGGTTGATTGATATAACAATAGTTAGTATAATAATAGTTAATCTAAGGATTAATTAACTTTATACAAGTTTTTAAATCATATTAAAAACCACAAATCGACAATTAATAGACATAGATAAAAAAAGTCTGTCTACTTTAAGTAAATAATTAATACAATGATCTTATATTGGTTGATTGATATAATAATAGTTGGTATGATAATAATTAGTCAAAGAATTGATTAACTCTATACAAGTTTCTAAATAATATTTTAAATATTAAGACAATAATTAGATAATAATAGATAAATGATTGATTTGATAATAGTTAAATTGATAGAAAACTATTGATTAACTCTGTTGATTTCTGAATAATATTTTAGTACAATAATAAATGATTATAAAACAATGATAGTATTATACAATATTTTGATTTCATATTAGTTTAAAAATGCCAAATTTTATATGATCAGGTATTATTTTCATGACATTAAACTATATGCTATAAGTTGATTACTATATTGAATTTTTTTTTCAGTTATTTGACAATTACAAGTTCTAAAGTAATTGGATTAATAACATTTTTAATTTTTTGACCAAATCAAAATTTGCCATGCAGATCATATGACAAAATGATCTATGTAAACTCTACCCTTAAATAAACAATATATATGCTATAAAAAGATTATTTTTATTAAATGGTATATACCATATATTAAAATAAATTGCAAATATATGTGATAAAATGTCTAATACTTTTGATACATCTCCGCAAAACGCATGTGATTACGTACAAGCTTAATACATCAACCACAATATAAAACAATATAGTAAAAATAGTAAAAATATAATATACAAAACAAAATGCTAAAATAAATGGATGGTATGCAACATTTAATGTTTTATTTAAATTAAAAAACCTAACATAAATCGTCGGGATCTCTAGTACCGTCTTCAGCCATAAGTTTTTTAAACTAGAGAATAGGAGAATTGGTTTTTAATATCAATAAAATAAATAATAAATAGATAGAATAGTTACGTATGTTACCATTTCACATTGTTCTCGGATATCGTTTTCCAGAACTAACGGTTTATCCACGAAAGGAAGCCCGTCCCATGATATAACCAATGGTGCATTTTGATGCCGTAAGGCAGGTTTATCCTTATGCGTCCCACTTTGTGCTGGGTTAAAATTTTGACATTTTCTACAAACACGTAAAACCCATTTAGATAATGACTCAATGAATGATAATTCGTATTTATGGTTGTGTACTCACGCCTCACTTAATGCAAAGGATTTTTTTAGATGTTCCTTTAGATACATGAGAATAGCCATACAAACGGATACTTTGGCAGCATATGAGAGTGGTAGAATATTTTCTTTGTACACAAATTTGGATTAATTATTATAATTACTCTCATTTGATTGAAGTTAAAGCAATCCATTACTTACCTTTCTCATTTTTCTCATTGAAAAGATTATTTTGTATAGACTTATCATCTCTAAATTGTACTTCCATTGAATCATTTAGTTGAGTTTCATCTTCAATGACCATTGGACTTGAAGGATCTACAATAGATGACACCTCCAACGTACCAATGTCATTACAGAATGATTCATTAGTTTGTGAAATGGATTGATTAACAAAATCTTCAG